CCCTCGGAGAGGCCGGCGGGAGGCGCGCCTGCGCACTTCTCCCCCCCCGCCCCGCCCCGCACAGGGCCCCTCCCTTTATCACTGTCCCCGCTGGGGTTGCCACAGCCTCCAGGTGGGGCCTGGGGATCTCCCGCTTTTACATCTGCTCTCCAGCTGGCAGAGATCCGCTCCCCTGGAGGAGAAAAGGGCTGCTTTGGAGGAGGAGGAGGGAGGCGGGGGAGCTCGGTGGCATCCTCCCATGGCGAGGCCCCTCCCCTCCCCAAACCCCGCCCTCTCCCGGACCCACCCCCAAAGCCTCCCAAGTGTTTTCCAACCCAGACCTGGCAACCAAGGCTGTGGAGTCCTGTGAGCAAAAATTCTACATTGTGAGCTGCTGGCATTAAAGCGGTGAGCCAGCGATGTGGCTGCTGCATCAATCAGTTTGCTCTGGAGCCCTCCTTCCAGAGCTAAGATTAAAAACAAGGGAGCCGGAGGCTAAAAGACTGTGAGCTAGCTCACACTCACTCAGCTGAGAGGGAACACTGGTCCTTGCAATGTTTCCGCTAAGCTGCGGAGTCTTGTGCGCAAAAATCCTACTTTGTGAGCTCCTGGCAGTTGGGCATTAACGCTGTGAGCAAGCAGTTTGGCTGCTGCATACATTAGTTTGCTCTGGAGCCATCCTGCCTGAGCAGAGACAAAAAACCTGTGAGCCGGAGGCTAAGAAACTGTGAGCGAGCTCACACTAACTCAGCTTAAAGGGAACATTAGACTCTTTGCAATGTTCCCTCCGAGCTGTGGAGTCTTGTGAGCAAAAATTCTACTCTGTGATCTACCGGCATTAAAGTTGTGAGCGAGCGATTGGGCTGCTGCATACATTAGCTTGCTCTGGAGCCCTCCTTCCCGAGCCAAGATAAAAACATGGGAGCCAGAGGCTAAAAAACTGTGAGCTAGCTCACACTCATTCAGCTTAGAGGGAACATTGCTGGCAACTGTACTGTTTACTTACACAGCGTGTGGCCCCACCTCTCTGTTGGGAAGGGCTGTGACTGGCTGCAGCCACGGCCTCCTCAACTGCTCCAGGGGTGGGGTGGGAGGCGGGGGGGGGCACTCGGCTCCTCCTCCCGTGGATGTTCTAGACCCAAGGCAGGGGTTGGATCCAGACTGGGCTTTCCATCACCGAAGCTGCCTTGGACTGAACCAGGCCCTCCGCCCATCAAGCTCAGTATTGTCTACTCAGACTGGCAGCCGCCCTCCAGGGTCTCCTCAGGCAGGGAAGGGTCTTCCACATCGCCTCCTGCCTGGTCATTTAACTGGAGATGCCAATGGAGGAGGAGGAAGAAGAAGAGATTGGATTTATACCCCGCCCTTCACTTGGAGTCTCGGAGCGGCTGACAATCTCCTTTCCCTCCCCCTCCCCACAGCAGACACCCTGTGAGGCAGGTGGGGCTGAGAGAGCTCTTGAGAGAACAGCTCTGAGAGAACTTGTGACTGACCCAAGGTCACACCGGCGGCTGCATGTGGAGGAGTGGGGAATCAAACCCGGTTCTCCCAGATTAGAGTCCGCACATTTATCCACGACACCAAACTGCCTCTCACGACACCAAACTGGCCGACGCTATGAGATGCTGCATGCCAAGTGGACGCTCTGCCACTCAGCCACAGAGTGGAACTTCCCTGCCTCCCACCTCCCGACCCTGAGGGGCAACGTGGTGGGAGTGGTGGGGGTCTACATTGGAAAGGGACCATCAGTGGGAGCGGCCAGTTCAGCCTAGACTCATCTCCAGGGGGAGTGTTATTGGGAGAGGTTTCCAGCAGAGACTGAGTCCTGCTCTGTTGACAGCCTGAGTCCTGGAGGCGGCCCTGTTCTGCGCTGCCATAGCAGCATAGCAGTTGCACCCCTGTGGTGCGGGTGCGATGCCGGCAGTGCTTAGTGCTGGTGCTGCTCCGAGGTCTGGTGGTGTGGGACTTAGCTGCCATTCTAAGCCTGTTTGAGCTGGGGCTTGGGTTTGGGGTCTTGCCCGGTGGACGCGTCTATGCACTCAGTCCTCTTCCTCAGACCTCTGGAAGTTAAAGTTCAGAGGCAGGAACAAAACGTTTTGCACTGACACATGTAGGAAACTAGTGTGAGTGTAATTCTTAAGAGAGCGAGCGTGGTGTCGTGGTTAGGAGTAGCCGACTCTGAGCGGGGATGGGTCCCCCATACTTCTGCTAGGTGACCTTCGGCCAGTCCCGGTTCTCTCAGGACTCTCTCAGCTCCACCTCCCTCATGAGTTGCCTGCTGTGGGGAGAGGAAGGGAAGGCGATTGGAGGCCACTTGGAGTCTCCTTTGGGTAGAGGAAGAAGAGAAGAGATTGGATTTATACCCCGCCCTTCACTACCTGAAGGTGTCTCAGAGCGGCTTCCAAACTCCTTTCCCTTCCCCTCCCCACAACAGACACCCTGTGAGGCAGGTGGGGCTGAGAGAGCTCTGACAGAAACTGCTCTTTTTCAAGAACAGCTCTTATCAGAACTACGGCTTGCCCAAGGTCATCCAGCAGGTCCAAGTGGAGGAGTGGGGAATCAAACCCGGTTCTCCCAGATTAGAGTCCGTGCACTTAATCACTACACCAAACTGGCTCTTTTTCAAGAACAACTCTTATCAGAACTACGGCTTGCCCAAGGTCATCCAGCAGGTGCAAGTGGAGGAGTGGGAAATCAAACCCGGTTCTCCCAGATTAGAGTCCGTGCACTTAACCACTACACCAAACTGGGTACAGAAAAGCGAGGTATAAGAACAAACAAACCACAGTGGCTGTTTGGGCCAAGCGATGTCAGAGAAGGCAATTTTTTGGGTGGAAACAATATACAAAGTATGTATGTAGGTCACTCCGATGTGCAGCTCCCTGCTGGGCTAAGAAGGAAGGGAGATGGCTGTGTGTGTGTGTGTGGGGGGGGGTGCTGGGCTTCTTCACCGCTTGCCTGCTGCCGCTTGTGCCCAGGCGGGCTGCCCGCTGCCTGTTCACGAGGGTGCGTGGCACGTGTGTGTGTGTGCGGAGTGCAGTTGTTCTGTGCTGGCACGTAGCATGTTGTTCCGGCCTCCGTGTGGGGGCAGAGGGAGCTTGGCTCATGCCCCTAATTGTGAAAGGGTGCTTGGGGACATGAGTGTTACCAGTTTGTAAACACCCCTGTTTTCATCTGTCAGTTTTGGCGTTTGGGTAGGTGCAAGGAGGTGGCTTCCTTTTGGAATCCCAGCCGTCCCAGAGCGCAACACTCTCTTCCTGGAACCCGCCATCTCCTTTTTTTGTTTGTTTTTTTAACTGCCCCAAGGGGCAGGATTTTATTAGGTTTTTTCATCAAAATACAATACAAACTTGACAAACAAACATTAACACATACATACAAAATGTAAAGGTAAAGTTTTCCCTTGCTCGAAAGCCAGTCGAATCCGACTCTAGGGTTGGGGTGCTCATCTCCGTTTCAAAGCCGAAGAGCCAGTGCTGTCCAAAGAGGTTTCCGTGGTCATGTAGCTGGCATGACTAAACACCGAGGCGCACGGAACGCTGTTACCTTCCCACCAAAGTGGTCCCTATTTATCTACTTGCAATTTCTTGCTTTCGAACGGCTAGGTTGGCAGGAGCTGGAACTAGAGATGGGAGCTCACTCCGTCATGCGAAAACCCGGGTCTCAAACTGCTGAACTACCGACCTTCCACAGCCTGCATTTCAGCATCTTAACCACTTAAGCCACCACAGCTCCTACAAAACATAAATGGGGGTAATAAATCTTCATAGTTATTATAATTCTTGTGCCTAATTACTAACATTATTTTCTGCAATTATTTACTGTGAGTAATTATCATTGCGTTTGTTTCTACCTTGTTGGGTTATATAAGCTTTGTTTTCTTGCACTTTGTCTTTTAATTATTCCTGCCTACATATAATTATTATACCAGCTGTAAAATCGTAACCAAGTGTTCTGGAATGGAGAGTCCGAAAGACCCGTCATCAATAAAGTACATTTGTCCATTTCAGCTGTCTCCAAGACTTTATTTATAAATTCTTGTTTCGTAGGTGTCTCTGATGTCTTCCAGTATTTAGCATATAAGATTCTGGCTGCAGTAGTTATATGTACAATAAGATAGTGATCATCTTCTTTACTAAAATCTTTTGGTAAAATATTTAGTAAGAACACTTCAGGTATAAATGGAATAGCTATACCTAACACCTTTTGCAATAATTCATGAATCCATGCTCAGTATTTTTTACTCACTTCACAGTGCCACCACATATGCAGCTTCATGAGGATGGAAGCCGGGGAAATCCAAGCCTTTTCTGCGGCAGCTTGTGGCATCGAGGCCCCGGCTGGGTGCTGCAGTTGCCGGGTGTGGTGGGTAGGGGGTGCCCCTTGCCACGCCCGAGTTGCAGCAGCGATTGCTCATGGTGCGGACGGGACACAGGGCGAAAAGCAGAAGAGGCCTGAGCATGGAGAAGGAAGGGCTCCCGTGGGCCTTCTGCTCCCCTTCTTGGTCTCTGCTCAACCCTCAGCAATTGGCGGCTTCCCAAATGCGCCACAGCCGGGCCAGGGAGGAGGCGCAACTCCCCCCTTCCCCAAAGCTGCCCCCTGCTGAACGAGGCTATCCCAGCAATGGCCTTTCTCGGACAAAGAAGAGAAGAAGAGTTGGTCTTTCTACCCCGCTTCTCCCTCCCCAAAGGAGTCTTCTATAAGTGGCTG